AAAAAAAATGTAAAACAAAAAAGGCTATTTAAGTGTCTGTTTCATCCCGTGTTTGTCATCCGGTGCCTTTTTTTTTTTTTCCCTTCAAGGAAAAATAATTCTTTCTTTCTCCTTTTATGACTCTCCAAGTCACAAGATCGTGATAAAGGAAATCAGCAGCTCCATAATTCAGCCTTCATCTTCCAGGCTGCCCAAATTAGAAACTTCCATAGGAGGAGGAGGAGGATAATAATAATAATAATAATAATAATAATAATAATAATAATAATAATAGGAGGAGGAGGTTCCACCGTGTTTCTATCTCTTTCCTTGAGCAGGGTCTCTCAACCTTAGCAAAACTTTTAAGACTCGTGGACTTCAACTCCCAGAATTCCCCAGCCAGCCAGGACTTCTGGGAGTTGAAGTCCATGCATCTTAAAGCATCTCCCTGTTGGCTGAGGATTTCCGGAAATCCACAAGTCTTAAAGTTTCCAAGGTTGGACACCCTTCCTTCTTCTACATGTTGAGCACAATCGAATGTGGGGTTGCCCTCCTCCTCCTGAAAACACGTTCTGGAGGTACAAAACAAACCCCCTTCTAACCCCATGACACCCCCCACTCCCTCCCATGGTTGGACAAGGGTGGGCTGGGAGCCCAGAGCGACCAAAAAGAAGGCAGGAAGAAGCAGAAACAAAGGACATTTCTCCACCAGCCTCGCCAAGCCCAGCCGCAGATGGGACTGCCAAATTCCCCAGGGCCTAAATGCATTTTGGCTGGGATGAATGAAAACAAGACAAGGATTATTGGAGGAGCAGCCATATGTTCCTTGCCGTGCAACACACTTAAAAGCACTTATTCCCATCACCGCGATTGATGGTGTTCCTTCTTACCAACTCATACATTTCTAGGACCCAACTAAATAGGCTGGGATGATACAACTGCAATTATTGCTTAAAATGCAACACAAACTCCCGTGAATGTCCAGCAGCTGAAGAGAAGATGGGAAGATACAAACGCCAAACCCCAAGGAGGTTCCGTGCTGAACCCAAAGGAAACTCCACATGGGGTCGGTCCAAATGCTTTGAAGATTTGAGCGGATTTTTAAGGAACTAGCAGGAAGTCAGAAAGCTGAAGTCATGGGAGCCTCAGCTCTCCACAGGAAGCAGGCTTTGAAAGCTGGAATAAGCTACCCAGAACATATTTATCCTATTTCCTACCCATATTTGAAGCTCTTACAACAAGGAAGGGAAATTGTTTTGAGAACAAGCCAGACTAATGGTGATATCTGCTGTGAAGGATGAACATATGGTGTCCAAAGTACAGGATGGGCATACATGGATTGGATTTAAAAAAAAAAAAAACCACTGAAACCCGCAAACCGAGATTTATCAAGAGGTCCATCAGCTGCTCTTAGTATGGGTGAAAACAAAGTCAACTGAAAGTTGGATCTCCTGGTGTTTCAACCTACATCATGAAGCACAGTTCCAGGCAACTCCTGGACTTCTCCAATCTTGCTAGGACCCCAATTGGTTCTGTATTTCTGGGAAAGACACATTCCTGACATCAAACTGTGATCCTTTGTTGTGGGTAGACTATGCAATTCCATCTCAAAATATCTAGGAACTGGACGGGACGTCCTTTCAGACAACCAGGCGTGCAAACATAACATGGATTACCAACCCCTTCCAAAACTTGCTTTGGACACCAACAAGTAAGACAACCCCATCTTCTTGACTCAGGTTACTGAGACATATCAGTGAATAATATCAGTGGACCCACTCGTATGGATTTTTTTTAAAAAAAATGTTGCTTAAACAAAAGAAGACTTTAAGCAATATCACCCCGAATCAAAACGCCGAGGAGAACTTGTCCATTCTCTTCTTACACCAGGTTTCTGCTTTCATGAGGAGCTCCAAACATCAGGAGTAAACTTCACCGCAAAGTGTACAGTTCCACCACCCACATTCATCGAACTGGGAATTAATTTAAGCCAGGTTTTTTTTTCTTCAATCTCAGCCATTTTTAAGATGTGTGGACTTCAACTCCCAGAACTCCCCAGCCAGCAAAAGAATTCTGGGAGTTGAAGTCCACGTCTCTTAAAGTTAGTAAAGTGTGAGAAACACCAATTCAAATCCCACCAAGACAAATGATTCTTTGCAAAGCACCGGCCCAACTGCCCAGCATTTCCACCCCGGCCCTCTAAACCTCCCCTCCTCCCTCCAACATCCCTCGGCACCCCACATCTCCCCCACGCAGCCCCAGAGGAACTGAGCACCGCCTGGGAACCAAGGCAACCGCATCCTTTACCTCTGAGCAGCTCTCCTGCACGACATCCCCCCGTTTTTCCCGGGCCAGGCAGGCAAGCATTTTTGTCACAAACGCCTTCCCACCCCAAGCACAGAGTTCTTGGATCACGCTGAGCAACTCCTCCTGCCTTGGAGAAGATCCCCCCCTCCGTTTTCCTCCTCCCCCCCCCCCTCCGGAGGCGAAGATGCACAGCTGATGGCAACCTCTCCCAGGGTCCGTTAGGGGCAGCCCCTCACTGCACAGGGGATCCTGGGCCCCTGCTCAAGGCTTGCACTGGGCATGCTCCAAGGAGAGCAGCCGCTTGAGAGATGCCTTCCCCATCGGTTCCCGCAGAACTGCTCCTTCGGCAAGTCCCAGGAACAAGACAGGAAAAACATCTGCAACATATTTCCAGAAGATGCCGGCCTCCCTCTCTCTCCATTTGACACAAGGAAGCTGCGAGCACTTAAGGGAGGAAGGGAGGGGAGGACGAGGAGGGGGAGGTCCGAAGTGCTTGGCTAAAAAAAGGGAAATGCATTAAAATACACACACACACACACACACACACACACACACACATATAATATACGTATATAGGAACCCAAAGGTTAACAGGATTTCCAACGTTGAAACTCTGGAAGAAAAAGCTGAAAGTTAGCCCGAGCAGAACACACATTTCATTTATAAACACAAACTTCGGATCGCCTTGCAGGAAAATCTCATTCAGCGAAGTTAATCAATCCCCCCAAAACAGCTGCATTGTTTGAATTTTACACGGTTCCAAGGGGCGTTCCTAGGGAAAATAGGGGTGGAAATCAAGCAATGAGAAATGGTGCCTGCATTTTGTTTTTAAGGTGGACATTACTAATATACTATAGTAAGGGGTAAAAAAAACAAAAAAAAAACAACCAACCCGTAATTTTAAATTACGGTTCACCAAGTCACAGAGTAGTTACAGAAAGCTATGTGAAGCTTAGTGGGTTCTTCCAGCAACTTTGAGGTCGTGAGTTGTGTTGCCCTCTTAAAGTCTTTTCTGCCTATTTTTTAGAGTTTTAAAAAGCAGAGCTGAACAGGTGATCAGAGTGGAGATTATACAGTGCCAATGAATATTGATTTATTTATCTGCACAAAAGTGGGGCAACCATCAAAGGGCGAGACCCAGGAAGTGGATAGTTAATGCAAGACACAGTTAATATCTCAGCCATATTCGGAGCAATGAGTAAAAATGGAATCGTGCAAAGATACTTTTCTTCTCCACAGTGAAATGACTTTGCTTCTCTCTTCTTTTTGGAAGATATTTTTTTCTCTCTTTTTAGAATACAGAACAATAGAGTTGAAAGGGACCTTGAAGATCTTCTAGTCCAGCCCCCTGCTCAAGCTGGAAAGCATATACCATTTCAGACAAGTGGCTGTCCAATCTTTTCTTAAAAGCATCCCATTTTTTTAAACTATTTTAATGGGGGATGGGGTCTCTCAACACTGTTGAGAAAACAGATGGGGAATTATCAAGGTCGGCCTCGCAATAATCCTGTCTGCAGAGCTGACTATATACATTTAATTTTTTTTTTCAATCAACCAATCCAAGAAAACGTTTTTTCTGTTTTCCTCTCTGAGCCGCTCAGGGCGGCTTCAAAGAAAGACCCAATGAGGTCAATGGACTATTGTTCTCCAACTGTCTTCCTTACCCGCTTTCTGAGAGAGAGAAAAGGGCACAGAAATGAGATAAAAGCTAATAAAAGAGGGGATTTTGCAGGACGGGGTTAACAAAAAATCAAAACGAGGGTGTGGAATTGTGCGGTGTCTTTTTACAGACAGCACATGTGCGACACATGCCGAAAAAGGTTGGGGATTCAGTGGCACCGTTGTGGCCACCATCCTGATATTTTAACCCCCTCTCCATGCCCCTGCAATAAATGTAATTATTCCTCGAGTTATGGCCATAATGGAACCTGCCTATGATGGTCGTTAAATCATAATGGTTGTAAAACAGGTCAGCCATGTGACCAACCTAATTTTAGGACTTTTTTGCCTGTTTTATGATCATGGAGATAAGACAGATAGAACTTAGAATAGGGTAGGGAAGGGTAGGGTAGGGTAGAGTAGAGTAGAGAATATAGAATATAGAATATAGAATATAGAATATAGAATATAGAATATAGAATATAGAATATAGAATATAGAAT